TCGGTTGATCAAGCTGCTCATGTAATACCCTAAATTCCAAGTCAGTAGTTCAGGTCAACCCGAGACCCAAAAGTCAAGCTCATTAGAACTTCTAAACCAGTTTAGACCAGTTTTTGAGAGTTTTGGGCTCAAGTTTGGCCCAAGAGTTAGGGGAAGTGGAATTTTAGTTTGGGTTATAAAGGTCAGGACCAAAAGTATCGTTTACCCATTTCTCAAATTAAAGGATAAAAACCCCTTAACCCAAGTGTTATTCACGTGAAATCATACCCATCCAAAATATCTTCTTATTTCCTCTTATTTTCTCTCTTTTTTCCCTTCACAAGAGAAAGCTTAAAGGTGAAAGCTTAAAGAGTTTCAAGTTTAGTTCGAATCAACCAAGGTAAGAACCTTAATCTATATCCCTTAAGCTCAAATCCAAGCCTTAAATCTCAGGTTTGGTTAAGTTTTCAAAATGAATTTTTAATAGGTAAAAAGGATTTAAGAGATTTAAGCGTGTTTCTAATAAAATTTAGAAGTTTAGAGTGTACTTAACTTAGTTTCAAGCCTTAGATAAGCTAGTAATTCTTTTCTTACCTTTATTTAGTTAAAGAGATGGGGGAAAGTTCAAAGGCAAGGGTAATGAAAATGTGTCTCCTAGTTGATTTAGAGTGGCTTAGCAGCAGAAAAGAATCATATAACACACTCACAACTTCTTCATATCAATTGTGAGTCATTAGAAATGAGTTCTAGCTTGAGAGTTAGTTATAAAGCTTAAAGATGTATTTTCATGGTAGATTTAATGTTTGATGTTTATAGCATGTTCAAGAGCCTTATTTATGACCCCTATGATCACATAAAACTTTAATAACAATTGAGAAACCTTAAGGTAGGAAATTTGGAGATAGTAAGGGGCAAATTCGTGCCCAAATAGAACATTTTTTAGGGTCGGTATCGATATTGTATTCAGTAGTATTGATATTGTTCATAAGGAAATCTTAACTCGAGATTTTTTAAAGAACAATATCGATACCCTTAAAAGAGTATTGATACAGAAGATTCAATATCGAGACCGATCGGCTTGGTATCGAGACCAAAAATCCAAAATACAATTTTGGTATCGGTACACTAGGGGAGTATCAATACCAGGGTTGAGTATCGATACTCCCCATAGGAGTATCAATACCAGGGTTGAGTATCGATACTCCCCATAGGAGTATCGATACTTCTCCTTTGTTGCAATACTAAAATAGCTAGGTTATCAATACTAGCCTTTAGTATCAATACCGAGTTATGTTTTTGGCCAGTATATTCAAGAAAGCTTTAAGAAAAGATGAGGTTTCCCAAAAAAAACTTATAATTTCTCTCAAATAAGGCTACAAGTAAGAACAATAATAATGCTTATTTCAAAAATAGAAACGAGATAAAGTAGGGTGAAATAATACTAGCCTTGTTTGAATACTCGGGAAACGATCAAGAGACCCGAGTTCCTTTAGAAAAGCTAGCAGTGTCGAAAGTATAAAATAAGTTTGAATATCGTTAGAAAGTGAGCAATGCACTTTAAGCTTACTAACTATGGCCAAGGCCCGACACTCATAAGAGGTGGATTAGTCAATGGTGTAAACCAATGCGAAGATTCTGGGTGATCATCCTCGGTAAACTAGAGATGTAACACCCTAGACCAGTACTACACACAGTCGACCGACTAGGATGCTACACGGAGCCACCAGGGTAGTTGACCAACTTTTACTTCTACTTCTCTTGCTATAAATGACTATTTAAAAAAACCATTTTCACTCAAAACATCCATAAAAGAATTAAAAACGTAATACATCAGAGATATCTCAAAATAAATAAATACATTTCAAAAATATACAGATCGACTCTTAACTAACTTTACAACTCAATACAACAGGGTTTATGAATATACAGGCACTTCAAGAAACTTGATGACGTACTCTGTTCTGCTCTGAAACAGGACCTCGGTCACTCTAACTCTTCTCGAACTGAACAATCTACTAATATTCTAACATAAACATCCGAAAGTTGAGCTAACTAGCTTAGTACCACATTAACAACTAGATCATACTAAAAGTGTATCTCTGAAAAGCTCAAGCTATCAAGTCTACTGCTTTGCTTTAGTGAGTATATGTGTACACTCACTCTCTACTCTATGGTAGACATCATGGTGTGGCTGAGGGCTCTCTATATCTTGGAGCTCACACACCCCTCTAATCTACCGAGGATGACCCCCCCGGTAATCTCTACATCGGAAACCACACCCTCGACTAACCACCCTTGCAAGTGACATGCCTTGGCCTTAGTTAGTCAGCTTAAAGTGCCTTGCACACTTCCTAAGGATATATATAGACTAAAACTATACTTTCGACTCTGCTAGCTTTTCTAAAGGTACTCGGGTGTCCTGATCGTTTCTCGAGCATTCAAGCAATGCCAGTCTTATTTCATCCTAATTATTCTCGTTTCTACGTTTGAATTAATCATTATTATCATTCTTACTTGTAGTCTTATTTGGGAGTAATTAAAGCTTTTGGAAAAAACCTCACCTATATCTAAAACACCACTTATTTACTGCTCAACATAAAGCCTTTGTATCGATACTGGCCTTATAGTATCGATACTTTCTCTTCAGTATCGATACCCTACCCAAGGTATTGATACCCCCTGCTGAAATATCTTGAAAGAAAAGGGAAAGTATCGATACTAGGACTCTGAGTATCGATACTCCCTAGAGTACTGATACCAAAATGACATTCTAGAATCTCGATCTCGATACCGAGCACCCTAGTCTCGATACCAGACACTCAGTATTGATACTCCTTTAAGGGTATCGATACTACCCTCGTAACTCTTTGAATTTTGAGCCTGAAACATTACCGATATTGATACTACTTCTTGTAGTATCGATATTCACCCTTAAATATGCCTTATTTAGGCACAAATTTACCTCTGAAACTTTCGAATTTTTTTACCTTAAGGTTTCCCAATTCTTATTAAGTCTTATTTGAATCTTTAGGGTCATAAATAAGGCTTGAAAACATGCTTTAACTTTAAAACATACAATCTACCATGAAAATCTACTTAACATGCTCAAATTTAACTTTCTAGCTATTTTGCATTTCTATTGACCCGCTAAGGGTATGAAAGAGTTGTGAGTGTGTTACCTAGCCTTCTTGGTTGCTAAAACTTCTCTCAATTTAGCTATAATTTATCATTCTTTCATCTCTAGGCTTGAACTCTCTTACCCCTCTTTAACTAAACCAAAGCAAGAAAATGGATTACTACTCAACTAGAGGTTGGATTAAGCTTAAATACAACTCCTATAACTCAAATATACCCAAAAACAAGCTTAAAACACTTCATTTCTTTCAACTCCCAAAAACTTTTCTAAATCCTTACCCAAAACCTAAGATTTAGGGCTTAAATTAAAGCTTAAGAGAAGGAGATTAAGGCTCTTACCTTGGTTAACTCTAATTTTTCTTGGAATCTCAAAAGCTCTCACATTTTCTTAACCTTGGGAAGAAATATATTTTGGGTTTGGAAGGTTCACGTGAAATCCATCTAAATAAGGGGTTTTAATTCTTTAAAATAAGCTTTGGGTAAACTACACTTTTGGTTCCTCTCATTCTAACTCACTTTTAAAATCATCACTTCTCTAATACTCTTGGGCCAAATTTAAGCCCAATACCCTTTTGAATTGGTCCAAACTAATCTAGGAGATCTAATGGGCTCAATTTATGGGTCTCGGTTGACCTGAACTATTGATCCTGGATTTGGGGTATTACAATAAGGGCGTGTGGAGCTCCGAGATGTAGAACATTCAGTTGTTTCATGATGTTTACCATAGAGTAGAGAGTGAGTATACAAGTATACTCATTAATGCAGTAGACTTGATAGCTTGAGCCTTTCAGTGAAGCACTTTTAGTATGTTTTAGTTGTTAGTGTGTCACTGAGCTAGTTAACTCAGTGTTTGGAATTTGTTTCCTTACACAGATTAGGTGGAGCATTTAAGGAAGCCTTAGAGCGACTGAGGTCCAAACCAAGAGCATATCAGAGTACATTTCAAGTTTTTTGAAAGACACGTATATTTATAAACCCTGTTGTAAAGTTGAGTCATAAGCTTATTTAAGAGTTGGTATGTATATGTTTTAATGTAAATATTTATTTGGGAGTTCCCTGATGTAAAGTTTTCAATTATAATTAATGGTTGATTTTATTACGAAAAAGGTTAGTAACATGGTCGTTTTAAAGTAAGAGAGATGGGAAAAATTTTGGCCAACCACTTTAGTGATTCCGTGTAGCAATCGAATCGGTCGACGTTGTATCGTACTAGTTTATGGTGTTATAACTCATATTTATTCTCTTATATTACTTTATGTCATGAGTTTTAATTTATTAAAAGTAATAGCACTCTTCTTCCTTTTTTCCCCTCCTATCTAAATAAAAATAGGATTAAATTTAAGATTTACCCAAAAAAATAATCAGAATCATTTTCATGATATAATTTATAGAATATGAGTATGTTAAATCTCATGAGTTAAATGTAGTATAGTGCTGAATATTAATTACGTAAGTCACCCACATGTAGGGAATTTTAATATTAGAAGAATAATACTTCAAAATTTTCTCTTTACAAACTGAACAGGCTTTTTTATAAATATTTGATTTTTAAAAAAAATTTATCATGTGGCACCATCAAAATGTAGCGTGTGATCTTCCCCCAAGTGTCATATCACCAGTTTAGATTAAGTGAGGTGAAAGTGATACTTGTGGATAACATTAGAGGATAATTCTTACCAGAAAAAACTTGAGTTATTTAAAATAAGAATATCTAAAATCAAGTACCATGGGAGCTTCTTGCTCTTCCTTTTACAGCAACCATGATCTCTCACTTTCACATATGAAGCAGGTCTTGTCTTTTTGGCAGAATCAAATCATGTTTCTGCAGAACTCTAAATTTCTGAACAAATCCTTGCCCCAAAATAACAGCAAGAAAGAACAAAAAATTGAAACTTTACAATCTAATATATATATATATTTCACAAGAAAGTTGGAATTTACATTTTTAAAGGACCCAAGTTGCTAATTCACAAAAATATACACCTTCCAAACTGTAAATTTTAATCGTATTTTTCTCCCCAACAGGAAACCAAAAAGAAAACCCAGGAAAGAGACAGTAAAATATCACCCACTGTTTGCCTAGCCGAGTCCCAAGCCAAAGCCTCCACTCTTCTCTCGAACCAGAACCGCCACACGGCCATGAAAACGTGCAAAAAGATGCAGCCTTTGGCGAAGAACGACTGGAAATCCATGTCTTCCACGAAGGAGACCATGAACAGCAACAGCCCGATGGCGAAAAGGAGCAGACCCGAGAAGGAATCGGAGGTCCGGATCAAGAGCTGGTCGTGCGGGGTGGACCCGAGGAGCTTCGTGGCGGTCTCCATGCCGTGGGTGAAGGTGTAGATTTCCTTCATGCGGAACATCATGAGGGCGCCGCTTGATAGGGCGATGACCGAGTGGAGGAGACAGATCAGCATAAACGCAGACGACGGCGGCGATGATGTTCTTGTTGACATTTTTTGGTGGGGTTTTAGTGTTCTTTTTTCCTTTGAAATTCGACCGGACGGAAGATTTTTAAGGATTTGTTAAAATATGCATGGTTGCAGTGGAATCGAACACTAACTCCAAGTTTGTTTCAGGAAGCGTTGAAGGAGTAGGAGAAGAAGATGAAAAAGGAAAAAGGAAAAAGGAAAAAGAAAGCAGGATAGGATTTTTCTTACTTTTATCGGTGACTTATTTGAGGTTTAATTATGTTTCTATCCTTATATTATATAAAATATATAACTTGATCTTGTTTAAATTTAGCATAATTTGATCAATACCTATTATGAGTATAGTCAAATTGAGTTTTATGAAAAAAAATAGGTATTGATACAACATTTTTCTTGAATAGTTTATTGTGTTTACAAATTAATATAATTTCATAATTTTTTTAATCATAGACAATGTATATATATCTTATAGATGTAGTTGTCAAAAACTCTACAAATATATTTGTTTAAATTTATAACATTTAAAGAGAATAACGTTCTTCTTAACCACTGAAATCATTAGATGAATTCAAATTGATAACAACATCATTGTTTCCTTAAGGTGATTAATTATAATTTTTCTAAATCAAATTTTAAATATTTAATTAATATATAATTTATTATTAATTAAATATGATCGATTAGATTTTTATGTAGTAATAATTATATGACTAAATAATAATAAAAGAATACAATAACATCAATACTGAAAGGGTAAAACTTAATGGTTCTGTCAATTTGGATTTATTAATAAAATTCTTCGAGATGAGGACCGAATTAAGTTGAATTAAGATATAGTGACCAAAGTAAAATGTTTAGAATAATATAGAGACCAAGTTATAATTATACCATTACCCTTACTATTTTCGTCGTGTGGAAGATCCTGCCAAGTTGGCTTGGTAGAAGATAAGAATTTATTGTGGGGTCCACTTTGAGACATTAAATAATCTGCTTGTTCTTTGTAGAAACACGTGTAGGATTTTAAGTGCTGCCGACAGTCAGATTTCCTCTATGACTGTCAAAATAAGTACGTACAAATTCTCATTAACAATTATGCAGCCCATTTAATCTAAATAATTAATTAATTATAATCCAATTATAGTTTTTGGGGGTTTTCCCGATATATCACCATTTGATTTTATTTTTCCTCTGTCAGGCACCATTCAAATTATATTTTTTGATCTAACACTCTTTGCAGTAAGGTACACCCCTACACCTCGCTTTACGCCACGTGGGGTAAGATTCGCCCCTGCAACGCGTCTTGTTAAATGTGAAAAAAATTTGAGCGTTAATTTTGTAAATAATTTTAAACTGATGCCAAATATGTAATTAATTTCTTTTAGGGTGATATTTATGTAAAAACGTCAATTTTATTTATTTATTTATTTTTGATATTATTTTTAACAACATTTAATAATATTTATTGACTTTTTAAATTAATTATTTAAAAATATTAAAATAAATTTTTAATTACAATTAAGATATCAAATGAATTATTATTCAATAAAAATAAATAAAAATATAATAAAAAAGAATTATAAATGAATAAAATTCAATAAAAATATAGTGTAAAACTAAAAAATATCACCTCTTTATTTAAAATATTCTTTCTAATATTAATTTTAAAAAATATAAAATATTAAATATTAAATAAATATTAAATTTTAATTTATTAAAATGAATAAACATTATTAACTATTGTTTTAAGAAAAATAATTAATGAATAATAATTCATTTGATCCCTCAATTATAATTAAAATTTTATTTTAATATTTTTTTATATTTTTAAATAATTAATTTTAAAAGTCAATAAAATTTTTAAAAATATATAAAATTTATTATTTTTTAAATTATAAAATATTTATTATTATTATCATCATTATCATCATTTTGTAAAAGAAATAATAGTTATAAAACTTTTATAAAATTATTCATATTTTAAAATACTTTAAAATATTTTTTACAAATTATTTTATAACTCGACAAATTTTGATTTTTGTATGAAATTACACAATACATATATTCTTTTGCATGAATGTTATAAAAAGAAAGGAACTCATACGCGGGAAAAAATGATGAGACAAAACAATTTTTATGAAGATTGAGCATAAAAGATCAACTCTTTGATCTAATGTTTATTCGTGGTACAATTGAGTTGATATTTAGACAACAATTAGACAATTTTAAGTTATTGACTTTTTACGATTAAATTTTCATTCGATCCCTGTAGCTTTCCACACCTACGACTGTTTAACAATCATAACTTGACTTTAGGTCTCGAGAATAGAGTATTTTAAAATTAATTGTTTAAAAATATAAAAAAATATTAAAATAAACTTTTAATTACAATTGAGGTATCAAATGAATTATTATTCATTAATTATTATTTTTTAACAACAATTAATAATGTTTATTCATTTTTAATAAAATTAAAAATTAAAATTTAATATTTATTTAATATTTTTTAAAATTAATATTAGAAAGAATATGTTAAATAAATATGTGATATTTTTTAGCTTTACATTATATTTTTATTGAATTTTATTTATTTTTAATTCATTTTTATTTATTTTTAAAAAAATGAATAATAATTCATTTGATCTCTCAATTATAATTAAAATTTTATTTGAATATTTTAATATTTTTAAACAATTAATTTTAAAAATCAATAAACACTATTAACTGTTGTTAAAAATAATATCAAAAATAAATAAATAGATGAAGTTGTCATTTTTACACAAATATCACCCTAACAGAAATTAATTATATATTAAACTTATTCTCATTTTTAAATATTAAATTAATTATAATTTAATATATATAATATAATATATTTATTTGTTAGATTTGTTTTAATAATTTAATATCTGTGTGTGTGAAATAACCTTGAACAATATATATAAAATGTTGTGCAATTTTCAACGTGGGTTTTTTTATCTTGTGGCAAAGGCCTGCCTAGAGACTTTTAAGGTCCATGAATCTCCCCCCACCCCCCACCCCCCAAGATCATTTAAATGTTTAATTTGTTTTATTTAATTAAAATAAATTAAATTTACCCTCTAATCATATAGTGACACGTGCCACATCTAGATTAGATGACTAAATTTATTTTAATTGAATTAAAATAATGATTAAATTGATAGAATGTATGAATATCAAGGACCAAATATATAATTATACCAATTTTATCAACGGTCACGTTATCAGCTCTATTAAAAAGTAACGACCAATGGCTTAATTGAACCATTTAAATAGTTTGGTCGTTTGTTTGATCGCTTTTAAATGTTGGTGGTTAAAATAGTTGATGATCATAGCTTGATGGTCACCCGTGTAATTTACCCTTTTTGTTATATAGAGATCATTTATAGGATACTTTTTCTTTATTTCTCATTTAAATCTTTATTTCATCAAAAAAAATTATATTTAAATCGACTATTAAATTCTATTTGATAAAAACCTTAGTTTGATCACACCTATTATCAGCCTTATATATCTCTTCCTATTTATAGATTAACTTTTCGAAATTTTAGAGAAAAGAACAAAAGTCAGCCAACTTGATTAGTTGTTGGAATTTGTGAAGCTAAAATTTGACAATCAAAAAAAAAAAATGTATAGAGGGGTGAATTGATTTTTTTTTTTAGAATTTTAAGGAGTAAGGAGAATTAAAGAGATATAAAATTATTGTACAAAGATTTATAGTGGTTTAATTTTCTTAATTAAATTCTACATCCATTATCTAAGCTCCTTACTTAGGATTTTTCAATAAATTCACTAATTTATTATTTATTTTTCAATGACAAAGAGATAAAATTTACAAACTCCCTAATTTTTTAAAGGGTTAGTTAGAACATGGTTTTCAGAACCGGACCGGTTAGCGAACCGGCCATGCTACCTGTTCACTGGTTCAACCGGTCGAATCGGTCCGACCGGTCGGAAGAACCGGACGATGTCATAATTATTTAAAAAATTAAATAAAAATACTAAAAATATTTAATAAAAAATAATTTTTTATATCACAAGTCATATTCAAAGCAAGTCATAATATATATAAATTAAAAATCATAAAATCAAGTGAAACAAAATGATTCAAATTAACTACAACATAATATTTAAGGTAAAATATATTAAATAATAAATATAATTATATAACTATAATTAAAAAATAAAATTGGGGTTAAAAAAATCATAACAAAATGATATTGTTTGGTTTATTTTTTTTTAAAAAAACAATCTCACATGGCTAAGAAACATAGAAGAGCATCCCAAAAGTCTAAAGAGTAAAAATATGAGAACAAAACAATCCCACATTACTAAGAAACATAGAAGAGCATCACAACTAACTTCTATAAATAATAAAGATAATTTGACATTCAAAATCATGGAGCATTTTGGTGAGCATTGAGTGAACTATTCTTTCACTTCAATCAAGCTCGAATTTTAGGCTTTAATTGAGCTTCTAATTTTTTTTTAGTTCAAGCCTTTTTGAGTTCAAGTTTCAATATTATATTTCGAGTTCGAGTTGAACTTGATAATTTTTAACTTGTGAGTTTGAGTGGAGTTGAGCTTACTTTTAAAGTTTTCAAGTTCGAGTCGAGCTCAGCAATACTCGAGTTCGACTTGGCTCGTTTAACAAACGACGTTTGGTTTATTTTTTTTTAAAAAAAAAATTTCAGGTTTTTTCCGGTTTTCAGTCGATCCGGTTCGAACGGTTCAGCGGTTCTGGCCGGTTCACTAGTAGCGGTTCAACCGGTTTAGATTGAACCGGACTAGGCAACGGTTCCCGGTTGAACCGGCCGGTCCGATCCGATTTTTAAAACAGAGAGCTAGAACCAAAACCCTTTTACAAAGAATAAAAGAAGTAAACAATAAAACATGTACAAGGTATGATGTTTACAAAGTAAAGCTGACAAGAACAAAATATTTATAAGAGAATAAAAATAAAGAGTGAAAAGTTTTTCTCTTGTGCTTGATTGTGTGGATAGGTGTTTTAACCTATTTTCAAGTGTCTTGAACTTGTATTTATATATTGTAATGTGTTTGTGGTCGTTTCTGATCGTTAAAAGTGATTTGGAGCCATTGAGAATGTTTTCTCTGTAAAATAAAACTGTCCAATACAGAGGGTATCGATATATAGGGAGTATCGATACTATCTTTGTAATATTTAAATAAAACTAGCCGTTACTAGCTGTTGGGCCTAACGGTATTGATATTATCCTTCATGATATCGATACTACTATGTAAAGTAGTATCGGTACTCCTTTGGGTATCGATACCTATTTTGTATTCTGAAATTTGAGCAAGCTGGTAGTATCGATATTACCTAGAGAGTATCGATACCTCTCTTACCTAGGATATCAGTACCACATGAACAATATTAGTATTGTTTATATAATATCGATATTGTAAGAACAGTATTAGTACTACGTACTTTGAAAATTAGTTTTGTGCTTAAATTCACTTTTAATGAACTTTAAATTATTTTTGAAAACTTTGAATAAATTCAATTCAAGTCCAAAAATATTTTACCTTAGTTTGTCACATTAAAATATTATAAAACATGGTTCAACAATCTCCCCATTTTTAATATAACAAAACATTTGAAAATTTATTTTTGACAAAATTCCTTTTTAATAAAATATTTAATGAAAAAGAGACGTTTTTGAAAGTGTTAAAGTTTCCCTTTTTCATTGAGAAATTGAATTTTTCAAACTATACATCTATTCTTTTTTGTTATATAAAAATAATTTAATTTTAAAATTCAAAAGTAACAATGGAGAATAAGTAGTAAATTTTAGTACAAAATCATTTGAAAAATCAAAACTCCCCTAAAAAATAGCATTTCAAACAAAAATTTGATTTTAAAAGCATAACACTTAAAAAAAATTGAATTTCAACAAAAATGAACAAACATGTTAATAGCATATGAAATTTAATATATCAAAGTATAGTAAATTTTATACAATATCAATTGTTGAAATTAAATGCATATACATAAAGTTATCTAAAATTGTTACATATTTTAAAAAAATGATATCAATTATTAGAGGATATCATTTGAAATAAATCACATGCATAAGGCGAAAAAATCCGATGGTCGCCATTGCAACTAGGTTCCCATCAATCACCGGAATTAGTGTATGGTTGTCACCTGGAATTCAAGTTTCAGGAGCAACACGATTCGTTTGGGTCCGATATGTCGGGTTTCTCGAGGACAGTGACTTGGGAATACAGGGAAACTGCGACGGAGATAGATTTCGAGGCAATAACGATAGAACCGTAGATCGCGGTGACGATGATGATGATGATGAGAAAGAGAACGATGAAGCAAGCAATGAAAATAGCAAGAGTTTTTGGGAGAGCCAGCACCAGGCTTTGCAGCAAACATTGTTCAGGACCAACTCTGTAGAATTGAGAATTCGGAACGCCACGAAAGAAGCTTTGAAAGATGTTCAGAGGGAAAGTACAGCTTGCGGTTGTGGGAAATCATCAATGGTGGAGGATTGTCGGATTTGTCTCATGAGAGAGGTTGCTAGTCGGCTCCAAAATGCCGGTTTCAACAGCGCCATTTGCATGACTAAATGGCGAAGCTATCCGGATATCCTTCATGTATCTATTTCTTTCTGTATACCAATCCTTTTATAGATTTTTGGGTTCGAATCCTACACAAATTTATGTGTGAAAATGGGTTCCCCACCGTTACATAACATATCTCGATCATTAATCTCTCTTAATCCAATGATTATAAATCAGTATAAAACATGGCGCGATAGGATCTTACCTTGTATGATGTATATAATATTACAACATCAATTACGTTGCTTTCTCTTGGTGGGTCTCAACTGAATTTATGGTTTAATATTTGTACAGGGAACCATAGGTTTTTGGATGTGATAGAGAATTCGAGAAAAGAGGAAGTAAGGGTGATCAAAGAGTTGAATTTCAGGGCAGAGCTTGAGATCGCGAGAGCAAGTGAAGATTACAGTCGTTTAGTGCAACGATTACAGGAAGTTTTCGTGGGTAAAGTAGAGAGATTAAGCAATGTAATCAAAATCTTGTTTTCGGCCGCCAAGAAATGCATGAAGGAAAATAAAATGCATACGGGGCCTTGGAGGAAACAAGGATACATGCAAGCCAAGTGGCTAAAATCGTGCGAAAGGAATACAGCGACACAGTCCTTGCCAGTGGGATGTTCCGGCAGCCAGTTAACAAAACCGAGGGCATCGATGTTGACAGAAGATTTGCTCGATGTGCATTGTACAGCACTTGAGGTTGTGTAAATAATGAATGTGCCACTTTCACATGAAGTTTAGATTTATGGGTAAATAACTACATATATATATATATATATGTTCCTGAAACGAGGCTGTTGGTCGCAAATTTTGTTTTGTTTTCTTACGTCTGGAAATTTTAATTTGTTTTTGTTTGAGTGAATGATGTTCAAATATATGGACCATATGGTGCAGAAAGTTTCAGATTTGATGACAGAATGTGGTGTGTTTTGCAGCAGGATCTATACACTGCTGGATTTGGATTCTTTAAACTTGAATCTTATAAAACTAATGTTTAATATAATAACAAATGGATCAGATTCCAAAATCTGATTAAGTAATTTTTCGAGTTTAAACTTGTCTTCCAAAATAAAATTTAATTATTTTTAATAGTAATTACTAAACAAGGAATGATCTTGAATAAAAAGAAATTATGAATGGTTTCAGATCTTGGTAAAATGATTATGAGGTTAGAGACGATCTAGCATTAATGGTTATGAGGTTAGAGACGATCTAGCATTAATGGTTGAGGTTAGAGACGATCTAGCACTAATGATAAAGGGCAGTGTATCCCACAGCCACCTTAGCTAGGCACTAGGCAAACGCAATTCCAAGTTGTAGTGGATGTTTGTGTTTAATAAAACTGGAGCTAGTTACACAACGGTAGATTGGGAAATTTTATACTCGTGACTAGAGGTGCACAAAAAATTCGAATATCCGATTTTGTGTAAAAAATATTCGAAACCGGATTTGGGAAAAATCTGTTTTTTTTAAACCGGATCGGATATTTTAAAACCGGATAGTATAACCGGTTTGAGAAAAAATTAGACGACCGGATTTTTTACCGGATTAAAAATCGGTTTGAAAAAAACAAGATAAAAAACCAGTTTTTTATCCGGAAAAAAAATTCGGTTTGGGGTTTAAAAATCCAGTATGGAGTTTAAAAAATTGGATGACCGAATTTTTTACCGGATTAAAAACCGGTTTTTTCAAACCGAAACCGGTTACACCAGTTACATCATCCGGCCCTCCAAACCAGTTATGATCCGAACCGGTTTTTTTATAAACCGATTTTTTGATTTAGTGAAAAAATCGAATTGATTTTTATCTGATCTGGATTGAATTTAAATTATGTGCATCTCTAATCGTGCCCATGTAAGGTCGGGTGAGCAGAGTAATACTTGCTTGAATAGAGGTAAATATATCTTTGGTTTAATAGTTGTTAAAGAATAATAATGATGCGACTCTTATGTACTCAATGTTCAGAAAAATTAGTTGATTACCCTTTAATCAACAAAACTGGTAAATTACATGTTTGGTAACTCAACTCAACTCTACTCTCTTTTCACTCATAGCACTCAATTTTTTTCAATTTACTCATTGAATTTTTTATCACTCCGCCGTTAAATAATTAATGGGGTTGGGACGTATTTTAATCAAAACAATGCTGTTTTAGTTTACATTTAATTTTTTTCTTCAAGAATTCAAAACGACGTCGTTTTGATATAAATTACCATGTCTATAATGCCATCAATTATAAGAAATTTTCAAGGCGTATATCAAATAATGACTCATAATTAATCTTAAATAACCTGAATTATGAGATGAACATGTATATCAAATAAAATGGAGCAATTAAAGATTCAATTGACCATTAGACAGAGGAAAAAGGGGGGGTAATCAGTTTCATTAATTCAACTGAGAAGTCAAAATACCCGTTTCCCAATTAAATACACCAGAGTTGTCCACATCATGCAGATGCAGTGATAAGCCCTGAAATTTTGAAGGCCTCCTCTGAAGCACATTGGAGAGAGTCAATAACAATGATTGGCAGGCACGAAGCTCATCAATCCTCGCCAACTCGGTGAGTTGACATGAATCATCCTCCCATGGCTCCTCAAATGACCTACACCACCACATGGCATTTTACTTGTTTTTTTCTTTCATAAGTGAACTTCATTAGGAATACATACTGCATGCATGTTTGTACGCAATTTTGTAGTCCCTTAATTTTTTATTCACTTTCATTTTTATCGCTCCCTAGTTACAGCAGGCACGCTGACATGACATGTTCATACAGTGATTTTTTCTTAATAAAACCAATCACATATTTTCCTTGATAAAATTTATTAAGAAAAATAATATGTGAGCATGTCATGTCAGAGCAATCGGCAGACGCCACTAACCGTCGTCTTATTCAAAGGAATTAATTTATTAAAGAAAATGATAAGTGGGCAAGCCATGTCAGCTGCCTTTAATGGTTGTGCGCGAATTAAAAGTTTACTCTTTAAAAGTTCAGTGATCAAAATGCAAGTGTCCTAAAAGTTGAGAGACTACTAACATAGTTTACCCTATAATTAATCATAAAAGATTAAAAAGAATGGAGAGAGGGAGATCATTTATACCATATCCAAGCTGGATTAAGCTCGGGAGGGCAGCGTATCTTCGAACATAGCGTCATCACCGACGTCCTAAAGCTGCGCATGAAATCCGATCCTGATACAACAAAAACCATAGATCGGTTAAAACAGTATTGCAGCTCAGTTCAATGTTATAAGTACACAAACACAGCAAAAAGAATATGTTTCCTTTTTTTTAAGTTATAAGCGCGGTTACAATCTAAGTACAAATGATACATACCTGAATAAGTATCACGAAAATTAACATTATAAAATGCCAAGATGAATCTAGAAGAATGTTAAACATCCCGCCTTCCGTCTCAAAGTTCATGATATCTAGCATTAACTAGATTAATTGATTCTTTTCAAAAGCCTAATGCAGATCTCTATTCCCACCTTAGCCCATAATGGGATATAGATAAGACGGTCGATTTTAATATACCTGTGAATTTGGAATCATCAGAAAGGAGTAGGAGACTGAGCGCAGAGACAGCAGATGCAAGAACACTACAATTTATGCCAAGAGACTGCTGGAGATAAAACACTTGGGCTGCTAACATCTCATCCAAGTCACAGCTTCTTTTGTTGTTTTCTTTATCCTCCTTTGCCACATATTCCATCAGAGACCGAAGAGTTTTCAAGTTAGATTGAGCTGAAAGTTTGGAGGTTGAACTGTTAGTATTCCGAGAGAGTTTCCCATGAATGATAGAAGCGGTCAGCCAGCGTAAAAGTTTCGATGTGAAGGACTCCTCTTGTGATGCTTCCCTCGAGACAAGTGGAACATGGAGACCAGCTTCTTCCCACTGAAATGCATTTCTAGGGTTGGAATTCAAAGCTATAGAAGTAGCCCAAATCAGAAAACTTGAGAGCTTCTCTTGATTCTGCAAAATACATCCAAATGGAATTATATCGTAACATAAAGTTCTCCATCAGGATACTCATAAACCCTTGGATGAATAATAGTGTACACTCCTCTGAAACTAAATAGAGAAAGAGAGAAAGGAAAGAACCATGCAGAAAATGTCAAGAGAAGGTCCGCTCAAAAGTATTGCTTCAAGCGCGAGCTTGGCATTCGCACATCTTCCAATGTCATCTTCACTAACAGCTACGTAGATTTGGAATAAATCCTCTTGTGATAGGGTAAAATGAGGTTGGTAGATTTTCCTTTTCTGGGAAATCTTTAAAGTTGATATGATAATCTTGAAAGCGGAGTTTTCATTTATCAACTTCTTGCCACTGACTAGAAGCTTATATAGATGAGATGTAAGTAACATAAGCTGTTCAAGGGCGCAGCTTTGCAACCATTCAGCGATATTGTTTGATGATATGACCACTCTGACAATCTAAATAAAAAATTGGGAAAAAAAGTCGGTAAATAAAGCATTCGAGTTAGCATTTAGCATATCCAGAGAGCAAATGTTGCGTCAAAAGGTCATATAACTATGAATAGCGGTACTAACAGGATTATCTTAAGTAATGGTAAGACTTGAGACAATGAAATCCAAGCAGCATTCATACAATGTCCTACCATAACTATGGAAAAATATTATTGTTCTTAACATGTATTCTACTCAACATTTAGCATATCCAGAGTGTGTATGTAGAATCTAAAGAATAGCAAAAAATTTAGAATGAAGTAAAAGAAGATAACCTCTATAACCACAGCCAACTCAGTTGAGAAACATTTTTTTTCATCTCTAAGTAGCACACTGCTATAGGTTGAGAGAATAGATGACAACCATGGAAACAGACTGCAGCGTTCAACCAGATAATGTGCCGTTTTATGCAACTGCACAGACTTTTTCAATATCTGCAAAGCAAACAAAATGAAATAACTTACTTCATACGGCAGCCAATCATCAACAGTACAAATATGGGTTGCATCTGCATTTTTAAAGCATAGAATTTGTTCCTTTGAGATTGACCATAACTGTTGAACTTCAATGATATTGAATGAAAATCTATCTAAGATTATGGGATGTTTCAGAAAATATATGTTTCCTTCCTGAGATGTTTCTGAATACTATGTCGGCAATTTTGGCATGCAAGTAATCCTATTGGAGAACCTAAAGAACTCCACCTTAATCTTAAGGGCTAAGGATATTCTGATAATATGATATAGACATGTACATCTTCATTTGAGTAATATTTCAGCTCATTTTCACCTTGCTTTTTCCCTTTCTAGTCTCTTCCCAAGCCCAAACTCTAACCACTTTACTCATTTTGCAATTTCCCCCATTAAATAGTCATATCATATTTGGATATTCAAACCAATACCATACCAATACAAAACCTAATTCTTCCTCTTCTTTCACCACACTTAGGTTCTTCAAGGACTGCCCACTAATGTATTCATTTCCTCACATATGGCTAATGCACTCTAAACTTTAAGAACCCTGAACCACGATTATCAAACTTGCAATACACAATTCACTGCCATAACCATCTATCAAACTTGCATACATCAACTTGGTTACTCAATTTTAAGTATTATGTAATGCATTTATAATCAATATATTGAGGTACTCTTTTCTTCCTTCCGCTAGTCGGTTCTTGCCTTATGGTAAAGGAATACTAAGAAGGAGGTTTTTAATGAGACCTTCTATTCCTATCAAAAAAAATTTATTAGTGTGAAACATAAATATGCACCAATTATAATAAGAGTAAATTTATTTCAATATTTTCTTAACCTTTCAAGCTCTTTCAAAGAGGCTATATACGTAGGTAATGGAATCACAATAAATAAGATATCATGTATCTCTGACAATATAATAAAGAGGGAACTAAATTCACCCACATTAGAACATTTTCAAGTATCTATATGATACAAGAGTTTATAGTAAAACAAACAAGAAGCTACACAACCTAAATATCACCTGAAGAATTATTGTTTTGGACTCGACATCTGAAAGAGGGGAAACATAAAAACTCATTAAAGTCTCTAGAATAGAGCTCTTGATATACAACCGAGCATCCTCTAAATTAAGCCCAGCATAGGCTAGCCGAAGTATCTAGAGCCTGCGCCCTATAGTTAACAGCATTGCTATGGAAAAAATCATGGAACAGGGGTATTTGCTGCAAACACAAATGAACCATATAAAGAGTTGGTCACCATACATAGTAAATCGGAAAGGAGAAAGCAATTTAAAGAAGGAAATTTGATGATTTTTTCCCCATTTTATAGAACTTGTCTAGGAGATGAATAAGTACCTTCATATTCACCCTAGATGTGTTCATCAAAAGCTTATTTAAGGTTGAATAATGCTCATGCAAAGTGTCCAACAAAATCATGGACATCTCTGCAGCAAAGAGGGCTACAACAGAAGGAATTCTTTGCCATGGCTCTTCTATTCCATTTTGAATATAAATCAACAACAGGCGAAGTCGCATAACATCTTTTTTCTTCTGACACCCCTGAAATAATTGATTTGGACATTGGATAAATATTACATTACCAAAAATTCCGTGCAATTTAGCAAACACACACAAAATATTTAATCAGAAAAACATAATAAAAACATATCAACAGTATCTAGGCCAATTAACAGCTTAGGTTCTCGTCTAAATACAATTACCAATTTGTATGACACACACACACACACAATTATTCTACAACTACTGGGGTGGCATGTTAAAAAGCCATACAGAGAACTTTGGCGAGTTGATTTCTTTAGAAAATGCATATTTGATTGAAGTCCATGAAAAAGAGGATTCCAGGATATGCCTACAGATAGATCCTTGGCATCTTGCCTTGATTGGGTTTTTAATATCATTGGCAGAAGAGATGATATCCTTGCTTTATGGAGCATACCTATGTTAATAAATATGTTATGCCTTGTATAGAAGTGTAGGAATAGGGCAGTTTTTAGTAAACAATGGAATAGAAGGATGGTGAAAAGGGAGACCATAGGAATAGTTAACAAAGAACAGCTCACAATGTCTGAACAAAAAGACACAAAAGGATCCCGGATAGGAAATCCTTCACCATTCGGTTCAACAAGATCTGGTAGGCTTAAACTAAACAAGGATGGTGGCTTGAAAAGCAGGTGCTCATGGAGATATGAGATATCAGAGGGAAATGAGATGGCAGATTTTACTTGCTTCTTTGGAGATTGCTCAATCAACCTTGCTGATTTTTCATGTAAATGACATGAATTCAAATAGCTAAGAGTGTGAGATTTGACACCCTCTTTCCAATTCCATCAAACCCATAAAAGATCTCTTGAAAACATTGGACAGTTGGACTTTCCCAAATCCTAGGTAAAATATTTTTGTAGCAAGATTAGCCAATAAAAGTTTATATAAACACCCCAAATCCAGATACCAGCAAGCTCCAGGCAATCTGAACCACTTTTGTCTTGCTGATATTGGAGGATTTGGATATCACAGACTTGTTTAATTGGTTTTTGTTCAGGACAATTACTCCTCCTTCGACAAAATAGAAAGAAATTGATAGGTAAAATATTTTTGTAGCAAGATTAGCCAATAAAAGTTTATATAAACACCCCAAATCCAGATACCAGCAAGCTCCAGGCAATCTGAACCACTTTTTCTTGCTGATATTGGAGGATTTGGATATCACAGACTAGTTTAATTGGTTTTTGTTCAGGACAATTACTCCTCCTTCGACAAAATAAAAAGAAATTGATAATGGTACCAAAAAAACATTTGTACCTCCAGTGAAATCTTGAATCTTTATAGAACTTCATTTGCCAATTTTCGAATCCCAACATCACGAGAAGACATACTAGCAAATGCGACAGCTAGCAAGCCTAGACCAGTGAACTCAACTGGTTCAATATAGCCTGCTGATAAGCTATGAATTGAAAAGTGCATGATAAAAACAGGATCATATAGCAAATTTTTTCCAGCACCAAGAGAACATGGCTGCAAAAAGTGAAAATATAATAATTGTTATAGCAAGATCATAACAAGCAATACAGATACTAGAGCAACTGAAGAAAATTCAAAATCATGGAGCACAGTAACTAAAGATGTACCTCAATCATATCCATATGATTATCAGTTAGAGACTTGTTCAAGGATAAATGCTCTTTACTAGTTCTATCATAAGGGAAGTGCAACACTGTTGCAGCACATACTTTTGGGTCAACCATAATATTCTCCCTGTACTTATTTTTTCTACCGTCTTGAACTGTTTCAGTATCATTCATGACATCAGTAGAAGCACCGTGCTCCAGCATGTGTTCTTTTTTTACTTTCGTTGCAGCCGTGCCCCAAAGGTAATCCATTTCTTTAATATATTCAGATCCTCCCGACGAATGTATAGACTCAATCGCATTCATCAACTGTTTATCTCCAAGTCAATTTCACTAAGAGTTGCACCATAAGAAGATAAAAGCAACAAATGCAATTCTTTAAGGTTTATGCCATTATCATTTCCAGAATCAAAACCATACTGATTAGTGCCAGACTGAAGGAGTATTCTAAGTAACTTAAGAATTTCTAACTGTTTCTTACACATTTCAGTTGCTTCCTGGTCATCCTTGCCATCTGCCATATCTGAAGGGATATGAGGGATAACAAGCAACCTTAGAATACTGGACATAGGCCTGAAAAATGTACCAATCTCTGAGACAGATGGTTTAGAGAGATAGTGAATCATTGGGCCAAACTGAGAGTGACCAAGCAACATTTGAAGGCATAGAACACGCGAAAAATTTCCCTCTGACAGCGATAAAAGAATGCTTCTTAGAATTCTCAGTGTATTGGGATCTTCAAATCTGTGGAGGAGAGTGGATCTCATCAACTGCTCCACAAAAGGAATAGATTGCAATTGAATTAGATGGCTATGCATTTTTCTGGTCAGTTGAAGAATATTTCTCAAGATGAAAGCTTCTGAACATCTGTACAAGCCTTGGCAATCCCCATTACTTGCTAATATTGATGTCGAATGCCCAGGAACTAAAGGTAATTTCTTAACCATCCATTTCCATGCACCCACTAAAGCATTCATAAAATGCATTCTTGCTGAGTCCACTTTATTAGACACTGGTATTACTGAGGCTTCTTTCAAGCCTTCACCCGCTTCTTTGGCCATAAACAGAACTTTATCATCTTCTGGAAATAACAGCATCCTGCAGAATGATATTTTGGCAATAACTTCATTAATATGATTCATTGACTTGTTAACTGAATTAAAATCCATTTCAACATCGCAATCAATCAGTTCTCCATGTGTAACAGAATATGCAAAAATGGAATTAAAAAGCTCCAATCGCTTTTTCAGTTTCACATAATCTCCAGCTAAGAAAAAGTGATATCTTAGCATATGAATTGATTTCCCAAGAAGACTTCCATCAACCAGATTAAAAAGTTCTTCAGAAGAAGATGGTAAGGTCTCGTTGTACTCCTCCTGAAATATATCTCCGGACACAAAACTCTTCCAATGCATGAAACCATCCAACAACATCCTCGAATAAAAAGATGGTATAGTTTTAAAGTGCTGGAAAAAATGCTTCTCAAATTTCACAAAAGCTGAATTTAGCAATGATAAAGCAGCCGGAAGTAGCATCATATAATCCTGATATGAAAGGGCATAGCTAGAGAATTCTTCAATCAAAATGCCATTGGACTGAAAATTTTTGTTTAAGATGCTTAAAAATAATTTCCCAAAGATAGACAAATGCAGGGGACTCATCTCAATAAGAAGATGCAACAATTTAGCTTTCACAATGCTAGTCCTACAAATGCAGTGAGCAACCATTTCTACAGGAGTGCTGATTATAACCCTTGACATTGCTACACTTGACGGATGCAGTTCATGATTATGCATGTTTTTTTGCCTATACACAGCACTAACAAATCTGAGTAAACACGAATCAGCAAAATCCAAATTGAAATTACAGGCAAGTTTACAAACTTTAACATAGATATCCTCCAAAAGATTAACATCAAAAGTCTTATCTTCCACTTCCCATAAGAAATCAAATGGTACTCCCTTTATTAGAGGCTGCTGAAAATAAGCAGAGAGAACTTCAAAAGCACCACCAACAATTGAAAAACCAACACAGAGAGCTGACATTACATGATCATTTTCAACTGTCAGTTCATTCACATCAATTCTACTAAACATCCAATGCCCCAATTCAAGAAGCTCAAAAGGTGATATAGATTGAATCAGAGCATGTACAGCACAAAATTATGAGAAAAGTGGCAATGAATATCCACTAGCAATACACAAATCAAACCTGTTCCTTAAGTCCATAAACAGCCCTTGTACCAAGGAACTGAAAGCCCTTTGAAATTTCCTTTTTGCTCCATCTTCAATGACAGAATAATGGCTTTTGGAAACAGACAAGTAGTAGTCCAAAGTGGCAGTCAACAGATCCAGAATTTGATGATCCAATTTATGAAGCCTTTGCCTATATAAACTCAAAAAAGTATCTAAATCATTCCATACGAGTCCTGTTGTCATCTGACTAACCTCCTTATTCCAACTCATAGGACAATTCAGTGATGACATCACTTCAGGATGACATAAGATGGTTTTTGATACTTCTCTTATTGTTTCTGCTGACAAAAGAACCTCACTATCTGTTGAACATTCAAACTCAGGCTTTAAAGTCAATAGTCGAGAAAACATGTTCTTTACAAGAATCAAACATGTATCAGAAAGTCGTTCCAGTTCATTTAACTGTTTATTCCTATAAAAGAATCGTACATGATAAAACCAAAATAATACAATGTGCAGACAGGAAATGACATAATCACTAGTGCATTCTGACCTTATTGCCAAAAGCAAGTCCTGAATTTTGGAGTCCTCGGATAAATAAAGAGTATCAATACTTATAACTGCAGAAAATAGCACATGAAAGGGAATCTGCTTCAAAAACAAACTAAATGCTGTCGCAGCTGATTCTATTGTATCAAAATCAATGTCAGAGGGCATTCCTTCAACATCACCGTTGCCTTTTTGATGGATCATTATCATAGCCAATTCCAAACCAGGGAAAAATACTTCAGGCCATAAATTAGAAAGACCAACAAGAAAATTTTGCTCACTAAATATTATTGATGACAATAGAGGGAGAGCTACTCCAAGCTTCAGAGAAAGTCCTAACCAAAGGAAAATTCTTTAATAGATCCTCTGGTGTAGCACATAGCAATGGCAGAATAAAAGCCTTTAACTATTCCAGCCAGTTCACCACCATGCTCATTTCTAATAGTTTTTTTCACCTCATCAAGTGTCTTTGCAAAAGAACAATCAGTAGCAATGGCAGTTTTGTCAATTGAAAGGATGTACTGAGGTTGTTGACACAATGCATTTTTTGAGAAGTACAACAAACTTTTCAATGGTCTCCACTCACATAAGAAATCCCCAGTATCATAAACCATGGAATGGCGATCACCAATTCCCTTGGACAAAACTGACTGAATTAAATCAGAGAATAATCCCGCATCTACCTATCAAATTTCAGTGGTAAAAAATAGACAGTTTTCAAGCATTAGTTAAACTGCAAAATTCTGTACCTGTGTCTGCAAGAGATATTTCAAAGTATTGCACACATACAAGGATATCATTGACTTATGAGGAATTGAGCAATTTCAGACACTTATCGAGGGCACATACAGTGAGAGGGCCAAAGTTAGGTGATATACCTGCAGCAGCACAACATAAACAGTGACTTCAGTAAATAATACTACTGTTTACCACAAATTTCGAGGAAAAGGAAAAATCTTGGACCACAATCAAAATCTTTTCTCAACTCATGTAGATTAAAAAACAGATTTACATTCAACCTTATTAATGCCTTAATAGTACAAAAAGAGAAAAATAAAAACTTGTGAAAACCAAATTTGGAGTGGAGTTCCAAAGGGCAATTAATCTTAGAGAGCGACTGCAAGAACGGTGTTGAATAGATTAAGAACCCTGCGTCTTGCCCGACTTTGTACGCTACAGTGGTTAGAGATATAGTAGATAGGGTGGTAGAGCGAGGAGTAATTCTTCGTGCTATTTCTAGGTCTGCCAATGTAGAGGCTGATGGTCTAGCCAAAGCTGGGATTGGCTGATCTCAGGTTTTGTTGTTAGGATGGAGGTTCATTGGGATCTTTCAGGGGTAGTCAGCAGGATGTTTTTTTGTAAGAAATAACCTCGCATTATTTTTACTTTAATAAAACTTGAGGTACTCTTTTCCTCCTTCTGCTTTTTGCTGCGATACCTGAGGTATTGCGGCAATTATGAAGGGTTTTTTTTAATGAGACCTCTAATTCTTATTAAAAAAAATGGAATACAGAGGGAGTATAGGGTATTCAAAATGGAAAGAAATACAATTCTAGGACATCCAGACAGGGAAAGCTGGGCAAAGAAAATTAGTTAATTGTTATTGGCAACTACAAATTCGATTTACAAAACTATGTATGCAAATGTAACAATATAATGTCAACAAAAGCAAATGAATTACTAGTTACCTTTAAAGCCTTTTAAGTGGGATATATGTTGCCTAACAATCTCCCAATGTTTGAACAGATTATTCCCAATAGTGGAAATTGCATCACCTAAGAATGAGATAACAACTCCAGAGAGGCTCTGCAGCACTTCTACTGCTTGCACCTCAACAGGCGATTCAGTTCTGCTATAACTGGGCAAAAATAAGAACCATGCATCAATTTCAGACAGGTTTCTGTCAAAGGCACCAGTACTCAACATAGCTGCTCTTGCCAGAATATATGCTTGATTCTTTATCTCACTATTTGGTGAGAGCATTAACAAGTTAATGAAAGTCTGCGTATGTTTGTACATCTGCAATGGGATTCTATTGGACTTCCCATTTCCCGCAGGGCATCCAATGTATTCAATTAGCAACGAGAGAAGAGAACACTGCAGATCAATTGGTAATGCTGGACTGCTCAGAAGATTCATGAAGAAATCAAAAGATCCTTCTAATACAGTTGGTACCGCCAACTGCATTAAATAAAAAAAAATAAGAAAACAATCTTAGAATTATAGCAGAGGACTTTTGAATTCAGAATAGAAAAGAACCATAATATTCCATTTTCCCTCAACATTAATAGTATATCATGTATAGTGCTAAAGCATTTCATGCATTTAGTGCCTATACTGGAAACTTCATCATGCAAAAGAATTCTTCTAAGCAAAATAAAACATCCACGAGAATATATGCTCCACCAGTTGAACTAGTGAATCTTGGTAACAGAACTCACAAATTAGGTTCTCTGGATTGCGACATAGAATATGCATATTCTAAACACTGAAACTTACAAGATATATCTGGAGTGTATCAATGAGCTTAGAGTAGAAGTACATAACCACATCTTTTGATTCCTTTTCAGTGTCCAACTCATCTGTCATACATGCATCTGCAACCATTTCATGATCCTCGGGCATGGAAATGTCAGGAACAGAACTTATTCCACAAACAATAATGTCTGAATCCTCATTCAAAGCATCAGCTTTCAATTTCTTTAAACTTCTTTCTTCCGAAATATTTTCTAAACCTGGTTTCCTCTTCAAAGACTTTGGAGTTCTAACATGAGTACCCAGCGAAGAAAGTAGTGTCAACAAGACCTATGTATCAGGAAGCAAAGTTTGAACCTCATTCTGAACATCTTGCTTTAACGATACCCATTTTCCCATCATCTGATTTCTCACACGAGAAAACCGGTTCAGAGAGCCGATAAAGGAATCCATCAACTTCAGTGCCTCCAAAAGGAGCCTTAAGGCTCCATGTTTCACAAGAAAATCAGAGTGAAGCAAACCCTTGGTGACTACAGATCTGCTGAGTGGACGAGGACATATGCAACTCAGAATATCCTGCACATCTGGACTATCAATGGAAGGTGGATCATGAGACATTGCATCAAGGAAACCAAATGGATTTCCCACAGCAACTGACGAAATCAAGCTTGCAGCCAGAGTAACGGAAGAAAACCTGAAAGTGCTTCAGTTACATGAATACAGGCAATAACATTAACAATGATAAAAGGCAGGAAATTATGGAGTGATGCAGAAAACTGACCAAGTAGGTGATGCATGATCTTCGACGCTATATGGGAATTCATTCATATAAGCCGCTCCCAAGGATGGTCTGCCCCTAAAAGTGGCCAAAAGTAAGTCCTTATGGTAGCTGACCTCTGTCGCTCTTAGCTTTTTCATGACCCCTAATAGTCTTGTTGGATTACCCTTTAATGGATTAGGTTTTCTGTCCAAATCAGGCATCAACCCGTTACTGGGATCAGTCGAAACCATGAGAAGAACATTGTAGGCCAGTTCTGCAGCAACTCCACTATTCTCCCTTCCAGAAATGTTCACCAGCTGTTCCAAAGTAACACTACCGAAGAGCACACTCCTAAGACCAGGGGGTACTAATGACTCTTCTGTGAGTACCCTATCACGTAATGTAGCCAAAATATACATAAAAGTTTCATCATCATCATTCCCAATGCCTCTCAACACACCATAATACATATCCCTTTGTTGCAAGATCCACCTCAATAACCCTGGCTTCCCCATCTCCAAGAACGACATAGCTAACCCAACAAAAGACTTTCTAGTCGAATGTTTTTTCTTATCAAACTGATTTCTCTTTTTATACTCAGAAAGCTTGGAAAACCCCTGGAGCTTAAAGTCAAATTTCTTTGCAACCTCAGAAGCCAACCCTGAACCACGCCTAACAACCGAACCCATCAACAGAAGTGCAGTATTCTGACGCTTCCCATCTTTACTACTCAATTCTTTATAAACATCCTCCAACTTTTCGTCAACAATCAATCTAGCAAACTTATCAAGCACCCTACTCACACCGAATTTATCATTATATCTTCTCCCCTCGGGATGACACAGAATAGCCGAAATCAATGACAGAACATAGGATGTTCCAGGTTTTCCCTGTCGGAGCTTCCAAGCTTCTAGAAGCTCCAACAAGGAAGGAAAAGTTTCGACATAAAGACGAAGCAGTTCAGCTCCAGCATCAGTCTTGAGCAACTTAACAAACTCTTTGGTAGCGTCCGAAAACAATTTGATTTCAACTGATTTAATCCTATGCAATAGTTCATTCATCTTAGCTTCGACGGAAGATGTCACGACTGAGGAGGGGAGCTCGGGATCTGCCATGGCTGAGGAAGGGAACTAGGGCTCTGCAATAGTTCAAAATCATGCATAGGACACAGGTGCAAAAACAAGAAACTCAAACATCAACATCAATTATTTTTATAGGAAACTCAAACAATTTGAACTAAGCAGTAAGCACACTGGAAAATGGAAAACAACATTTGAATCGGACTAAATTAAAATTATCCCCTATTATTTTATTTGTTAACTATTTTCCATTATATTTTAAAGACAAATTAAAATTAGATTTAAATCGTCTTAACGAAGGGTCCTCTGCCAAGAGCTACAGGGCATATACTATATCAGCATCGTATATGTAAACCCCTTTACCCAATCTAGATAGATTAGGTCGGATCCAAGAGGCCCATTAATTTATCTCCGAACACTTATCCAAAGATTATTTAAAAGTACTTTAAAATTTACCCTCACATTAATTTATTACAAATAATTTAAATAAAAAAATAAATAAAATAAAAAATATAATGTAAATAAAACGTATATCAAATCCAAAGTTCAAATCCATAGTCGAAAACAAAGTTTATGTTCAAAATCCCAAAATGTAGTCCTAATAAAAAATATCCCAATAAAATAATAAGAATAGAAAACATAAAATCCGAATGGAAATCATACTATAGAAACAATGAAATCTGAATAAAAATGCAGCTCCAAATACCGGTTAACCTAACTTGAGAATATGAAAGAAGAAATTAGAAAGAGTAAGCTATAAGGCTTAGTGTATCTCTAAAGTGTATCAGTCACAAAAATACATCACAAATCAACATACAATCTGATTTAACAAAATATTCACAAATCGAATAATTATGCAATGCATTTGCACCTAATCACCTTACGCCATCCGAATAATAGGTTACCTAGAATCTCTCTAACTACAAACACCATCAGAAGTGGGGTCTACTACAAAAGTAGAGGCCACTAAATCTAAAATAAAATTCATCCCGTCGGGTGAAAAACACTGAACTTCCTTTATCAATAATCATCCCAATATAAAATATAGTATGACACACAAATCCAATATCCAATTCAATCTGAATAACACATAATCAAATATCATATTTCTGAATAGCATATAATCCGATTTCACCATTTCAACATAATCAAATATTTTTCCCGAATGCACGTCACAATTTCCGAATACAATATGCCAACAATAACACATGGCATTTTTCGACCGGCATTAAAATCAACCAATATCACATAAAATTTCCGAATATTCATAAACGCAATAAAAAATGCTTTCGAGTGAAATACCAAGCAATCAAGTAACAAACAAATAACTCACACATGTAACACCGACAGAGACACACCTAAATAGATAGTTAATATCGGCTGTAGCGTTTATCACGATCACCCAGAGCAGTGGATCGATCGAACCAATTCCTACAAATTAATTTAATAAATAAACTACCTAAATAACCGATAAAACCTGACAAACTAAAAATATAAAACTTACGATCAACTCGAGCAATACGGATCGATTCGAAATTTGAAGGTAACAGTGGAGGGACAGTAATTCTATTTCTGAGTCGAAGTCTCCTGTAAAAGTTACGACAACCACTTCAAAAACCCAATTCAATCATTTCAGATTACTAAATAATAATTTAACGACGACAACGTAAAAATTCCGGTCCAAAACTGGAAGCGGTAGCGGGTCTGGTTCGAATAAGGGTTCTGCCGGTACAACGGAGGGGACTGCCGGCGACGTGGAAGCACCGACAGCACACCCAAGTGCTGGAGGTGGCACGGCCATAAACAGCCAGAGGCGGCGCTCACGGTAACAAACAAAGGCGGCAGAAGCAAAAACGACCGAAGGAGGCTTCCCCACGGCCAACAGAGTCCGACCAGCCGTGGATTCAGGACGTGAAGTCTTCGCCTGTGAGAACCCGTCCTTACAACGGCTGTAAACGGCCAAAAGATGGTGTGGAGGCAGGGGATCGAGCACCGAAGCTCTCGGGTTTTTGTGGAAACCCACACATATGACAACGGCGAGGTATGCACGACGGCCGTGATCTTGCTTACCTATGAAAGACGAATACGGTGGCGAAACGACTGGAGGCGACGAAGAAAAAGGTGAGCGGCGGCGCTAGGGTTTTGAGAAATAAAGGAAGAAGGCGCCGCGCAAAGATATAGTCGGGGGAAGGAAGAATTGTATTCAAAATAAAATTGGCATAATTTTAAATTAAGCCATTAAATGTTCTAGGTTTTTTGAAATTTGGACTTCATTATTTAAAAATGTACAATTAGGTCACTGATTTTAGTTTAGGAATTTAGGTGAAAATTTCTCAATTCTTAGGGTTTTAATTTGGGATTTAATCGGGGTGTTACAGTATCAATCATGGTACAACATACATATATACCAAGTTATAAAAAAAGGAAATTGATTGAAGAATTTGAATCATAAGATTATGAGTAGTCAAATACAAATTTCTCTATTCACTGTAATTACTATGTAACTAAAATCAAAAACTTTATTCTTCGAGTAATCCAGGGCAGCACATCGGCTGCTGTAAAAACTTCGCCACAAGCTTTTATAGGAGCCCCACGAGAGAACAGTGAAGTTTCAGTTCTACAAGAGTTGGCTTATACAGTATTTATGAAGACAGCAGGTGCTCCAAATGACCGAGTGAAACTCTTGATGAAGAACCAGAATGAGTTGATCAAATCAGGTCTGATGTCCAAACGATATAACGGAATGTTCGACTGCTTCTCAACAACAATCAGAAACGAAGGTTTATTTTCCCTTTAGAAAGGCAACGTTGTATTTACCACAGCACTTGTTTTATCTCAAGTAACTTACATTGTTGTCTTACTGTGAAGAGTTATAGACTTGTGCCATTTAAACCATTGAACCTTTAAGTATTTCAGGTCATATCTGTCGCGGTATATTGCTATGTTCTCAGTCATGAAGATATCGAGTCCACTCGTACAAGATGGGAAGTGGCATTTTTTCTTGCTTCAACAGTATTTCTTCTCTACCCATTTCATGCGCTGGAACATGCTTGAGCAACGACATCAAGAGCAGTAACATTGGCAAAAGGTAATTTAATGGTATACCAAATCAACTCTGAAATCAAATGACATTGTTGGATTCTACCGTGGATATACTGTTACGATTCCCGAATGGGGTGTTAAGAGTGCAACAAATGCACTTTTAAACCCTTGGCGACCATTTTTGTTGCACCGTTTTCAGGTCAGTGGAATAGATTAGATACCGATATCTAAGCTTTCAAAATGCTATTTCCTAAAGGATATGGTTTTGGCAGGAAACTGTTCTAGGCTGATGTGTGGTAGATGTTTTGTTTCATAGTAGCCGGCATGGTGTGCAGAAGGATGATGATAACCAGCGGAGGTGTTAAAGTACAATAATCCACCCCATGCAGCTGCTTACATTTTCAGAGCTGAGGTGTCAAGTCCTTTTATAATTGTCATTTCAATTGCAGTTCATCAAGTTTATTGGTTGTTAATAACACATGCTCTTAGTGCTGAAATCGAAAAGCCAAGTGATGGCAGCCTAACCTTTGATGGAAGAATGCCGGAGATGAATGACAGGGATGTGCCCAAAGTAGTCATTACATTCATGGTAAAATGTAAAGAATTTTGCATGCTACAACCAATAAACTTGCAAAATGTGACTAGTTTCAAGCAATTGAGTTTAAGCGTTTGGCACAAATCCAAGAACATATGAAAAGGAAGAGGAAATTTTCTAATACAAGTGCTTAGTATCAATTATAATCGACAAAAGAAATGTTTGGATCATGTTATCGCTAAACTCTGAAACCTCGTCTAGAGAATCTAGATTTGCCAAATGATGATGGTAAATGATGGAGCTGATTCCAGGGCCATTACTTCCACAGCTCTTCCATCGGAATCCCTCGTTCTTGAGCAACCTCACGGAACTGCTTCATTTTCTGTACTGCAACAACCGTAGCTCTGGCATTGTTGAGGGCATTTTTACTTCCAAGTTGCTTCCCCAATGCATTCTCAACACCCGCCATTTCGAGAACAATTCGCACTGCACCTCCAGCGATAACTCCAGTACCAGGTGCAGCAGGTCTAAGCATCACCGTTGCTGCACCATAATCACCCTCGGACCTGACAGTCATTTCCCAATGACATTAGTGAAACGCATGCTAGCGTGCTTTCTTTTAGCATTTTACAAGTATGGTTTAGCTCAACATCGCCATAGCCACCATCGAACATGGCATCAAGTATCGTCTAACAATCAAATGCAATGGTAGACACATATAGGCTAAAATCTAGATCAAGTTCCTCAAGAAACCTCAATAGGGTTGCTTTTGGATGACCAAAAGGAATACTAAACACAGTCTATTATCTATTACATTACTTGGCAAACATTAATTGAACATAAAAACGAAATCTTTGCTATGCACCAAGACAAAACATTTACAGCTTCAACAAAACAACCCCATTTAAGCATGCCAAAAGAAGCAGTGCTTCTTTTTTAAATTGACCAAAAGAAAGGAACTTGAAGTCCTTACCTATGTGGGAAAGTCAAGTACTTTGTCATAGGAATAGTAACAATATTCCTCCGAGCATTCACAGCCGATTTCTGAACAGCACCAATGACCTCCTTAGCTTTACCAACGCCAACACCGACCTGCCCCTGCTTATCGCCAACCACAACAACGGCTCTAAAATGCAATTGCTTCCCTCCTTTAACCACTTTAGTAACTCGCCTAACTTGAACCACTCGTTCCTCAAACCCATCCTTCACTTTATCTTTCTTAACTTTCCCGAACGCACTCGTTTTTTTGACTTTGGAATCCATCACGAAAACATCATTGCCCAAAACAGAGATTCCACTGTAGGCAGGGCCGAAGAGCTCCTCGTAAGCGGCGGCGATTTCGTCCTCGGTTTCATCGGGGCCGTCGTCGAAAGAGGGCGGTGTGGTGAAACCTTCGGGGGGTGTTGGTGGGTCGAAGACGACTTCCTCTTCGGGGTCGAGGTCGTCGAAGAAGGCGGTGTCGATGTCGGAGGCTTTGGCTTGCGGTGGTGTGAGAGAAAGGGAAAGGGAGGGGAATGAGGCGGAGAGGAAAAAGGGCTTGGTGGATTTGGGGAAGAGGGAGGAAATGGAATGAATTTGGTAACGGAAGGAGATGGAAGAGAGAGCTGGGGCTACTGCTGCTGTTGTTGCTGCCATGGATAAGTGTTTAAGAGTCAAAGGGTGACGATAAACAGACTGTTATCCCCTTGACAATGAATAGTGTCTAAAAGGATATAGTGTCGCGACGGTCCATCAAATATATTACGGGTAAAATACACTTTAGATCACTGAATTATGCCTTTGATAATAAATGGATCATTTTTTGTTTTAAAAATTCTAAATATTCTACTCATTGAAAATATTATTATAAACAAATTATTCATCTGTACAAATAGGTTACTGAAAATTAAATATTAGATTGAATAATATTTATGTACCGTACAATCAATAGTTTGTTCTAAATTTACTTAATATATGTTTAAATAATTATCATATGGAGAATCGAAAAAACCTCGCCGTCGTTGAAGATTTTCCCTCCCGAAAAAATGACGCTGTGATGAAGCGTCACCTGTTGGTTCCGTCCTGCCAACACCGACGAGTGCCAGCCCTTCTCATGTTCCTCCACAGTTTTTTTTTTTATATAAAGATACAATGCTCGATTCCAATACTATTCCCGTGGATGGAGAATTTCTATCTCTTGATGAAGATGATCAAGAAGTGTTTGATGTAGACATTAGCGTTGGGGAATCAGATGGGATTTCTTTCATTAATTTCTTTGATCGGGTTCAAAATCTAGGCTAAAAGAGCATGTACCAGACTTTAGTACTCAAGATCTTAGGTCGACGGATTGGTTATAATACCTTACACTCCCAGATTCTTAGCATCTGGAATCTTACCCATCCTCTGAAATTAATCGACATTGAAAACGATTACTTTTTGGTCAGGTTCTTGGCACATAGTGATTATTTAAAAGTCCTCACTGATGGCCCTAGAACAATCTTTGCTCACTACATTACTGTGGAACCTTAGTCTCCGAATTTTAACCCCTCACAATTGTACTCAGCAGAACAATGGAGTGGATATGCCTTTCGGGCTACACGGTTACTTGGTATAAATGCAATTTGATTGAGGCTATTTGCTCACGTCTTGACTCCGTCGTTAAAATTGACTAACAGATAATGGTCGTCGTGGTAGGTTTGCTCGCATGGTAGAAAACCTCTAGTCTCGAAAATTGCTATTAATGGTCAGACCCAACTCCTTAAGTATGAATCGCTACCTGTGGTTTGTTTCAACTGTGGCATCTATGGGTACAATAGTGATTGTTGCCCTCAAAAGATGAATGTTTCTACGGATGTTTCCGATAACAATAATGAACAACCCATTATCGACATTGATTACGCCCTCCGATCCTTTCAGCCTTTGGATGCTTGTTGAGAAGAAACAACGTTCAAATCGTAAGGAATCTATCCACCCACAATTGATAGTAGAAGCAACTGTCCATTCCTCCATATTTAGCCCCCTTCAAGATGGCCAAGATATTCAGACTGATAATAAGACCACTGAACATCAGCCTCACCCTCCAACTGCTCGCACACGTGCTCTCGTTTCAAAGAATAAATTTGCTTATGATAAAGAGCACACTCACCGCTCCTCTAATAATCATAGGACAAAAGGAAAAGCCCTCGTTATGTTGCGTAAGCAACCTGTGGTAGTTTTGGGTGCTCGTAATTTAAACGTCCTTACCCCGCATGGCCCAGATAAGATTTCTGCTAGTTCAAGTCTCTCTGCCAGACCGAATATCCAACGACCCTCTCCCCATCCCTCCAAGCACGTCGTAGTTGTGAATGGGGACACTTCTTCTAATGTTGCACCACAGCCTCCGAATATCGAGACTGCCAAAATTGATGATATTGAAATAGAGCACAATGATCATCCTCCAGTCCCCACTTTGTTGGCGCTGGGAATTGATCTTGCTTTTGACCTCATGTCCACTGGTCCTACAACCATGGTTGAGTGGTTTCTAGCCTCTCGACTCCTTTATGTCTTTTTTTTTATGGATTTAAAGTCTTTCGTTTAGAAAATGCAAGGTTGTGGTAGCATGAATTTCTTATGTGTTACACGTCAGTATCTCTGTGAGCATCATCCTAACATATGTGATTTTGTGGAACTGTAGGTTAGCGGAACCCGATCTGATCGAATCATCATTGCTTTGGATTTTCAAAACTCTAACATATGTGATACTTTTGGGGAATGCAATGTTGGGGAAAACGGGTTATTTCTCACATGAACGTAGTTTTAAAATTGACCTAAAATGTCAAGATTAAAACCACCAAAGGTTGCACAACGGATAAACCTGTCAAACTATTGAATATTGAAACACAATGGAAAAGAACCGAATAAAAAACAATAAAGGAGAGAACAGACCAAATTTACGAGGTTCGACGAGAATATCGTCTACTCCTCGGGCACCACACCGGATGATAACTTCACTATATCGCCAATATTACAACAAATGGAATTCTTTGGAATTCCCAAAGTGGGAGAATGAAGAATACAAGAGGAAGAGAGAACTTGTTTTTGGGATGATTTTTAATGGAAATACTTAGGCCTATTTATAGTTGAGTTTCAAGAACAATATGTTCAAAGTTTGGCCACCTACCAAAGAATTTTCCAATGTGTACAAGTTAGCCACCAAATATGAAATTCACATGTTCAAAGTTTGACCACCAACCAAGATGAAATTTCCAACTTGTCAACTTAATTTCTAGACAAATCTAACAAATCTCCACCTTGGCTTGAAATTACCAAGCCTACTCAATTTCTTCAACTCCCCAAATTTGTAGTGCCTCTAATTGCGCTCACAAGCGCCACACACCCGAAGGTGTTCATACTTTCAGGATGTTAATCAAGTTCAAACAATGATTGAACTTGATTACTGTTACCACCTTGGTCATCATATCTGCAGGATTTTCTGATTTCGCAATTTTCTGAAGTAGAATCTTTCATTCTTCAAAGATCTCCCGCACAAAGTGATACCTCACGTCGATATGCTTAGTCCTTGAATGGTAGACTTGATTTTTCGCTAAGTGAATAGCGCTCTGACTGTCACAATAGAGACTAATGTGACTTTGAACAACTCCCAAGTCTTCCAACCCGTTAAGCCAAATTGCTTCCTTTACGGCCTCTGAAACTGCCATGTATTATGCCTCTGTAGTAGACAAGGCCACCGTAGATTGCAATGTAGACTTCCAACTTACTGGGGTTTAGCAAGAGTAAACAAATACCCAGTAGTTGATCGACGCTTATCCAAATCACCAGCATAATCGGAATCAACATATCCAACCATACACTGACCAAGTGCTTCATCCTGTTCAAAAACTAAACCAACATCCACGGTTTGTTGGAGATACCGTAGAATCCATTTCACAGCTTGCCAATGTCTTCTCCAGGATCATGCATGTACCTGCTCACAACTCCAACTACTTGTGAAATGTCAGGACGCGTACACACCATTGCATACATCAAGCTCCCAACTGCATTAGCATATGGAACTTTTGCCATATACACTCGTTCTTCGTTAGTTTTAGGAGATAATTGAGAACTAAGTTTCAAATGAGAAGCCAATGGGATACTTACATGTTTGGTATTTTATTCATGCCAAAACATTGTAATACCTTTCTCAGATACTGCTTTGTGTTAAACAAAGCTTTCTTCTGTCTATTTTGCTTATCTCCATACCAAGAATCTTCTTGGCCTCACTAGATCTTCATCTCAAACTCTTGATTCAACTGAGCCTTTAATTTGTCTATCTCCTTTTGACTCTTCGAAGCGATCAAACATATCGTCAACGTACAAGAGAAGATAAATGAAAGATCCATCTTTGAGCTTTTGCAAATACACACAATGATCATATTTGCTTCTAGTATACTTTTGCCTCCTCATAAAGCTATCAAATCGCTTGTACCACTGCCTCGGAGATTGCTTCAATCCATATAGCGATTTGTTCAGCTTACAAACCCATTTCTTACAACCACCCATCTTTGTATCCTTCTAGATGTGTCATAGATCTCCTCTTCTAAATCACCGTGCAAGAAAGCCGTCTTTACATCAAGTTGAGCTAGCTCCAAATTCAACTGTGCTACCAAGGCCAACAATATTCTAATGGAGGAATGCTTCACAACAGGGGAAAATACTTCATTGTAGTCGATTCCCTCCTTTTGAGCGTAGCCTTTAGCTACCAACCGTGCCTTGTAGCGAACATCTTTCTTGTTATGAGATCCATCTTTCTTTACAAATACCTACTTGCATCCAATGGCTCTTTTACCTTTCGGTAATTGTGCCAGTTTCCAAGTGTCATTCTTTTGGAGAGATTGCATTTCTTCATCCATGGCACTTTTCCACTTATCACTTTCCAAGCTTTGTATTGCTTCTTGGTAAGTGATAGGGATATCATCATCAACAACTGGAAGAGCATAGGCCACCATATCAACAAATCGAGCAGGTCTACGAATTTCTCTCCTTGGCCTTGTAACTGCAAGTGTTTCTGGTGTCTCCAATGGTTCTTGGGTTTGAACCTCTTCATCTTCTGATTCTTCTATTGGAGTTGAAGAATCAGCTGCATCAACTTCTAGGATCATCGTCTGCTGAAACTCCACCTGTTTTGGAGTATGCTCCACCTGCTGCGGAGTACTACTTGTCTGGACAGCTTCACTTATTACCTTCTTCTTTACTAGGGCATATTCATCAAAGGTAACATCTCTGCTACAAATTATCTTCTTGGTAACACCAAAGGCGGGAATCCCTTCACTCCATGGGTGATTCCCATAAAGAGAGCCTTCTTTGCTCTCGGATCAAGCTTGGATTCCTTCACATGATAATAAGCAGTGGATCCAAATACATGTAAGGAATCATAATCAGTAGCAGGTTTTCCAGACCATACCTCCAATGGTGTTTTTCCTCCTATCGCTGATGACGGCAGACGATTAATGAGATGGCCAGCATATGTCACAGCCTCAGCCCAAAATGCCTTGCCTAACCCAGCATTAGACAACATACATCGAACTTTCTCCAATAGTGTTCGATTCATACGCTCTGCCACCCCATTCTGTTGTGGTGTATGTCTAACAGTGAAGTGTCGAACAATACCATACTCATGGCAAACGTCAAAGAATGGGTCACTTTTATATTCCCCTTCATTGCCCGTCCTAAGACGTTTGATCTTTCTACC